GATGAGGATATTTTGACTCCAGAGAAGGTACCTCCGGTGTAGCGCATTCGAGTGACTATGCGATTCATGTTCTCGAAATGCTCCCATACGAAGCGTCGAATGCCGGGGTTCGAAGGGAGTCGCTCGTCGTCGTAGTCGGATTCGGTACCCTTGACGGGAACGTCGTCGACGTAGGGCACCGTAACGTGCAGAATCTCGGGCTGCAGGATGTAGGTGACGTCGTTGTGAAAGATCGGGACTGAGTTCGTCCAGCCCATCGGGAGTGTGACTAGACGCATGGCTCCGTAGGGTGTCTGGAACGTTGTTAGATCTCTCGAAGACTCGGCGATGAGTCATTCGTCGTAGCCGACGTAGAGGTCGAGCATGCCGCCGCATGGTCTTCCTCCGAATTGTTCTGCGAGGTATTCGGGCGTCGGCGGTACACCGGAATGTTGAATCGTAACTGCATTGAGGGGCTCGAGGGAATGGACTAGTCGAAGGGATTTACCGTCCTTCTTGACGACACAAAACCACCGCGATCGATATGACGAGTTTGATGGTTCGTAGACTCCGGCGGCGATCTTTCGCTTGATCACCGCGCAGACCTCGTTGTAGATCCCGGGCGGAATGGGGATATTCTTCTGCACCCAGGGCGTGTGAGGAACGACGGGGAAATCGACGGGGGGGAAGTACTCGGGCTTGAAGCATCCGCGCTCGTCGTCGGTCCAGGCGAAGGCTTCGTTGTGCAGGCACATGAAGTGGTGGAGGACCCGACGTTCTTCGGGAAGTAGGAAGTCGCCGTCGTGAAGCTTATTCGTTGCTTCGAAGCATTCGAGGGTGTACCGACCGGTAGGTTTGAACGGCGGAGGGTCGGTCGAAAGCTTGGGCATGATGGAGAGAGGGTCGCCCTTGATGTCTCGAAGTATTCGAAATTGTTCGGGGACGGCACCGAGGACGGGTCAGGTTTTGAGAGCGACAGGCTTGTACTTCTTCTTCGTCGTGGCGAGGATCTTGTGCGTTGAAGGGGTAGAAGTCAATGTCGTCAAAGGAAAGGGAAGAATCGAGTTGGAAAGCTGCGAGATGGACTTCGTCGGAGGGCGAGCTGGAGGAGTTGAAGCCAACGGAGCTGAAAATAGAAGAGTCGAAGCCCACGTCGAAGCGTTCGACGGAGCGGCATTAGAAGCCGTACTGTCCGAGGCATAAAGAGACTGTAAATATGAAGAAACGGAGGTGCATGCGGAGAGGTACAGTGACGAAACAGCATTCGGAATCGAGGAGTCAATAGGAGCGACGAAGGAAATATTCGGGTTTACCCCATCGTAGTCGATGACTAGCGCGGCTTCTCCTTGATCATGGGGAATCAATTCCTCGAAGCTAGAAAATGCGATTTGCGACACCCGAGAGGATGCTGCCGGCTTCGCGATCTTCCTCGTGCGTACGTCGGAATCGTGACGGTTTCGCCGGTGTTCGGACAGAGGATCGTAATGGTCTGGTTCTCGTCGGCAAAGTTCTTGACGACGCTCTGCGTGAGCACGTCGAAGGGTCGGCCGAGGAGGATGTCGTATGCTGCGTTTCGAATGACGTGAGCCTGGAGGTACAATACGATCTCACCGATGCGGAAGGGAACATTTCGAATGAGTCCCAGCGATCGGTCCACCTCGCCGTTCGCCGATTGCATGTTCAGCTGGATTGTAGGATTGAAGAGGAGGTTGAGGCCGAGACAGACCTCTTCCGACATGGCGACGATCTGTGAACCGGGGTCAACGATGCATTCGATCTGCTCTTTGTTGTCGACCAATGCGATGATCGAACGAATCGCGTTCGAATTGCGGGCGACAGTAAATTCCGCGGGGTGCTCGCCGTGAGGGATGTGCTTCAGATATGTTTCATAGGGGTCTGGGACGATTGTAGCACCGGGTTCCAATGTTGCACCTGAACACGAGAGCTGGTTGACGGCCGTGACCTCGTCGGCGCCGATTTCTACGATGTGGGCCGACGCGACGGGTTCCGTCGAGACTCGCTTAGGGGTGACGGCGTCGCGGTACTTGTTTCAAACGTCGGGCGCGATCGACAGCAACTCTTCTGGGGTCAGTGTGACGAACTGCGACTTCATCGAACGCTGGAAGATTTCTTCGGCGAGCTTCGGCTGGATAACGGGGACGATGGTCTTGTACGCTGGTTCCTTGCCCTTGTCGTTCGAGGGCTTTGGTGGAGTTGCGAAGTTCCGAACGTTCGGTGGGGCGTATGTTGCGTCGCGAGCGTTTGCGAAGGGGTGTACTGGTGGTGCTGGAGGAGCGGACATAGTAGTAGGTCAAGATGTGGATTGCGTAGGTGGGGAAGAAGACGACGCGGGTGCTGCTGCTGGTATCGTCGGAGGCGGGGCCGTGCTTGTCGAAGTGCTCGAGGGTGCCGCCACTACTTTCGATGTAGCAGATCCCGAGGCTTCCGCGCTCTTCGGGACGGCTGGCGTCGTGGGCTTCTTCCGTTGTAGAATCTCGACGCCGTCGAAGACCTCCCTTCGCTTCCGAAGCTGAAGGAGTTCTCGCTCGAGCGCCTCGATCCTGCTGCTGGTGTTGAGCGTGAAGGTCTGCATAGTCGAGCGATCGTCGATCTCGAAGAGCATCATCGGAGCGGCGGGTGCTGCGGGATTTCTTCTATGCCACTCGTAGATTCGATCTCGTATCGTGAGACCAGGGATAGTGCGGGGGCAGAAGCTTCTGTTTGGAAGGACGATCTTGCCTTCGGTGTTACGCTTGCACTTGCCGTCCCGGATGTCAATCTCCGCGAACTCGCAGGTGCCTACCCTGCAGCCACGATTGCCGCAGTAGTGGCACGTCTGTTCAATTCCGCTGTTCTCGTGGACGTGGACGGCAGCTTGTTGTCTCGGTGCGGGGGCGTGGTTGTGCGTAGCGTGTGTCGTCGGCTGAATGAGTGTTGCGATCGTTCTCGACAGGCTTTCGATGATCATCGAGATGTCTTCGGTTTTGATCATCCCGGGGGGCACCGTTGTCGAAGTGTTCGACGTCGAAGCGGTAGCTTGGTTAGCCGCCGTCGTAGGTGTGCTCGATGTACCGTGTAAGATGAACGTAGCCGCCGCGTGAATCTCTGCCATGGTGTACGGGTCGTCGGCGTAGTGATCGGGATGCTTGAGATGCAGTCGGGTCTCGAGCCGTGTGAGCAATGCTGGCTGGAATCCTCGAAGGAATGCGCGACTTTGTTCGATAGTGGAGAGCCGGTGCTGTGCGATGAGATGTTTCGTAATGGCCATGAAGTCGCGGTAATAGCAGCCTAGGTCTGCTGCGTTGTGAATCCTGATACGAGCGCGTTCTCCAATGAGCTGATCCATGTCTGCCAGCGACCACTTTCTTGTATCGTCGGCGCCAGGATAGAGTGCTCGTACGTCGGCTTTCCAGTCGTTGTAGCTCTTGGCTACGTCGATGAAGGACTCGATGGTTTCCCATAAGTCGGCGACGTCGATCGAAGGATACCGAACGGCCCACTGTTTCTTGGCTGCTTCGTCGGTAATCTGACACCGGGTGAACAACGCTTCGAGGTCCTGGAAGTAACGCCGAAGCGAACGGACTTCCGACGGGTCGAAGCTTGGTGCCGTCGAATGACCGCGCGGGGGCATCAATGGTGTGTTTGTGTTCTGGCTCATGTTCGTAGTGTTGATAGGAGCTGGGCTCGAAGAGGACGCGGTAGTAGTTG